CCCCCCCCCCCCCCCCCCCCGCCCGCTTCCCTGCTGCGCTCTTTTGTCCTGTGAACCTTAAAAAGCCTCTTTTTTTTCCTGCATACCTCTTAATTGGAAGGATCAGCTGGTCTCTCAACAAAATCGATCAACTTCTCCCGACAGGAGTCAGGGTAAGGAGGACCCTCTGACCTCTTTAAGGAACAAATTGGATTCACGATGACGACTAGAATCTACTGTTTGGTTGGTGGAATCTGGTTGTCTACAAATTCATGTGGAGGTGTTGAAGCTTGACAGAGCTCGGACTGAATGTGGAGCTGTGACAGGGAGTTGGAGCAGCTGTTATCAGGACTGTGATCTCCCTGGCAGCACTCATGAATGGTGGAATAATCTTGGAGAAGCTGTGAGCTCGACTTTGGAGTAAAGGATCAATTCGGCTGTTTTGGAGTTTCCATCAGAGAATATGTACAGCAAGACTTTAAAGGCAGAAACAACAATTCATGAGTTCTGCCTGACCCAAACTGTGGCCTTGATGCCGGACTTATCTCAACTCCTCCTGGAATGTTTAGAAACCAACAAAGATGCTTTGACTGTTTCCTCACCCCTCCCTCCCCCAAGGCCGTGGACATGTGACAGAACCTCAACTGAGCTGAAGATGAACGTCACCTCTTATCTGGACAATGGCTGAGGGGGGGCTCTGGACTATGCTACGAGTCAGAGCTTCACTTCCTGTTTGGTTGTGCGCTCACCTGGTGACGGCGTGGTTCTGCCCCGGCTCGATCAGGTGGGAGAAGTAGAACCGTAGAAGTAAAACTTCAACATCTTCTCCACCTATATGTTCATGTATAACGTCTGTTCATGTTGCTTTGCTGTGGCAGGTTTGTTTGATGCCTCAAATCGTGCCCTGTCTAGGACACGGAGTGAGAGATCTTTTTTTTTATACCGTCTCTCCTCATGTTTTCTTTACTTTTCTTATCTAAGAGAAATATTATTCTGAATAAGAATAAGAGGCCGCGCTGATTATTTTAGCCACAGCTTCGTGCACTCCACCCATCTTCGGACGACTGTACGTACATGTTCTCGTTGTATCTCGGTGCAATGCCAATAAAGTTTATTCTGATTCTGAAAAGACTAATTTGCTAGTTTGGAAGTGGTTCATCTTTCTAAGATCCGATAAACTGCAGGTTTCAGTCAGTTGCTGCAAAATGTGACGGAGACTCGTTCTAACTCGCGGTTGGAACATCGAACTCGTTCCACCTGACAGAAGATGATGTCACAAGATGAAGCACAATAAAAGTTTGAGCCAACGTGTCCCTGAAACACCCCCAGCGCTGCAGGTTTTTATCATTAATTCATTCATTTAAAATAAAACTAATTCATCAGAAAGAAAAAAAACATTGAATGAAAATGTTGCAGAAAGAAGAAGAAAAATCTTATCTGCCCTAATTTAAAAACTACAAAATAACTAGAAACAAACAACAACCTCAACTTGAACAATCTCCAAACTGAAAACAAAAAACTTCAGGTATCCTTCACCTGGTACTAAACCTTCCCAACAACTTTAACATCTTTTTAAACATATAAATTGTTTTAGAAATGTTTATGGTGATATCAAGACAATTCATAATCCTGTTCCCTGAACTACAACACAGCTCCTTCACACCAGTTCTAAATGGAGGTTTTACAAACATTTACATTCCCTTAAGTTATATTGACTCTCCTTTTTTTATATTTATTTTTTACTAATTTTAATTGAATGTTTGGGGCTAATATTTTTATGAGCTTTATACATGACTTGTAAAATACTATATTCAACCAAATCATAGCATTTTAATAATTTCAATTGATGAAATAATATATTTGTCTGGTGACCATAGCGCTTCATAATACTAATAATTCTTATAGCTCATTTTTGTAAAAAATAAAAATAGGATTTGTAATTGTTTTACTTGCTTTTCCCCAAACTTCATTACAACAGATTCAATATGGAACAATCATTACATTATACAATATACACAAAGCTGTCATTCAAAAACTCTTACTTTATACAGTAATGCAACTGAGTTTTTATAACTGCTTATTGTTGTTGCTGTTGTCCATTGTTGTCATCATTCTTTATTAAATCAGGTCTCTCTTGTAAATGAGTCCTCGAGGCTCAATGGGATTTACAGTCTAAATAAAGGTTGAATAAATTTTTATTGTTAATTATTTTACATGAGATTTCCATGTCAGCATCTCCTCAGTAAAGACGCCCAAAAATTTTATTTCATTAACAACGAATTTCAGTGCTGTCAATTTTAAAGTTGTTTAAAGTTAAAACTATTAATATTGACAAAGTTGAGCATTTCATGTTTATTTGACAGATTTCAATGTTTTTGAAGGATAAATACAAATAAAAGGTGAACATTAATTTATTTGTATAGTTTGTAGTTTTTCTGAGGATTTTATATTGTTTATATCGATATTGAATTATATCGTTATCGACCAAAATTAAGAAATATAATGTGATAAAAGTTTGGGCCATTTCGTCCAGCCCTATGTCAAGGTCATGATTGGTCACAGATGAACAGAGTTTGTCGTACCCATGCCGGTCCCTGCAGGAGCGACTTCTCTGGAAAAGATCTCCAGAGCTTTCTTCTGCTTGTGGTGGACCGCCATCCAGAGCACAGCCTCCCTGGAGTCCTGAGAACACACAAACAGAGGAGGACTCAGGAAAAAAGGTGGACTCAAGAACAGAAGTGGACTCTGGAACAGAGGTGGACACTGGAACAGAGGTGGACTCTGGAACAGAGGTAGACTCAGAAACAGAGGTGG